TCTTTGGAGAATTAAGTTGTTTTTTTTTTTGCGGTACGCGGACCTCTCAATGTTGTGGCCTCTCCCGTTGCGGAGCACAGGCTCCGGACGCGCAGGTTCAGCGGCCATGGCTCACGGGTCCAGCCACTCTGCGGCCACAGGCTCCGGACGCGCAGGTTCAGCGGCCATGGCTCACGGGACCAGCCGCTCTGCGGCATGTGGGATCCTCCCGGACCGGGGCACGAACCCACGTCCCCTGCATCGGCAGGTGGACTCTCAACCACTGCGCCACCAGGGAAGCCCCTGGAGAATTAAGTTTTTACTCTTCTGTATTCCCAGCACCTAGGCAGAGCTTGGCATATATTGGGTTCATGATAAAATGTTTGATAATAGACAAATATGGACAGGGGGATACTGTACTGATGGAAAAAACAATTACCTGTAGTAAAGTTGGCTGTATGTAGGACTTGCTCCTCTCGTAAACTATAAATTCCCTGAGTATAAGGGCCACATTGTGCAAATCTCTGCATTATCCTTGCCATGAATTAACAAAAGGGCTTTGCTGGTAAGAATTAAAAGACTTGAGATTGGATAGCCCCCGAAAGGGTGAATTTGGGCAGCTCTTCCTCTGAAGAAGTCAGTCTTATAAAGTACGCAGCTATACTGCCCTCTGAAGAGTACGGATTTTTCTCAGAACATCACTGAAATAGATGTCCCGATTAAGAGCTAAACGCAGAAGTCTGCTGAAGCTTTAAGTTTTCACATGTGAAATGTTGCAAGAAGCTCTTCTAAATTTCCCAAATAACGATTTCTAAAAATAGGGAGGCCCAGGAGTTAAAAACACAAAGTTTTCTCATTGTTCTTCTTTCTCAAATTTCTTATACTGAGGAAACTGTTTTTAAAACGTAAGCATGGGGAATTCCCCGGCGGCCCATTGGTTAGGACTCTGTGCTTTCACTGTCGAAGGTGTGGGTTCAATTCCTGGTTGAGAAACAAATATCCCACAAGCTGTGCGGTGTGGCCAAAAAAAAAAAAAAAGTAACCATGTGTATTGCTATTACAGTATACGCTATATTTATTAGACAATTGACAAGAAAAACAATGTTTGGCACAAGAATGCCAATTTATTTTTTTATGGACACATGAACACAAAATATCCCTGCAGGCCAAAAAAAATTGCAAAATTTAAACAACCATCATCTTATCTCAACTCGGGGACACCACCCCTCCCTTAATAGTTTAGAAAGTACCTCGTATTGCTAGAGACATACACCCAGTCCAAATTTAATAAAATACATTTTAGAACATTACAGGCCTAACAATATAGAAACAAAAATGACACCATTAGTCAAATGAACAAATGCAAACATTTTTCAGCTACTAGACATAGAAAGAGCATGAATATGTCAATAGCAAGGGGTAAGAAAATGATTAATTGATAACAAGATCTTCCCTTTAATTTTACAAGGAAAAATCCTTGGAGTTGAAGCAGAATTGATACAATGCCCTCAGCCTCCACTTTCTTAAAATGAAAGCAGAGCTACCACCTTGCTATTGAGCAAGAAAATCTTACAGCACATCCACAAAGGGCTGCTAGGGCAGGGCGGAGAGGGTGAGCCTGGTTAAACTGTGGATTACCTTTTCCCACAGGAAGGGTAGGTAGCTGAGCCAGGTAGGTAAGCTCTGATATAGGCTGGGCACCAGATCCTAAAATACAGACCATATAGAATATGTCTGCTTGTAAATCATCACCTTTGGAAGCAGCAAATAGAATTTACAGTAAGAATGAATATGTTCTGCCTGCCCAGACAGCTGGGCAGCTAGTTCACTCTACAGCTAACAACAACAACAAAACATAATTGGTTCAACATTTGGATCTTCACCACTCTTTTAATGTCCCCGTGCCTTATCCCAAAATTGTTAACTCTTTAGCATTGCTACATTTAAATCTTTCACACCACATGACAGTGCCTGAACAGGCTGCATTAAAAAAAAACCAAACAGCCTACACCTACTTCTAGAGAATGCACACCTCCCATTGATTGACACATGCATAATGATTCAGTCAGTCCCAAGGGGTTAACGTGTTCAAATTGTCAAGCCAAATTAAAACTATGCATTCAGACCTGCTTGCAATAAGTATTGCTGCAACTTGGATTCTGCAGTAATTACCTCTTAAAGATTCACCGCTCAGCAAGTTTTTTCCAACAATCCAAATTCTTCTATATTTCTTTCCTTTTGTCCAAAACGGCAGCATTAAACCCTCAAAAGTACTGTTTTCCTATAAAAATAGGCCTCCCGGCTTTTCCTCCACCACTACACTGATTTGCCCCAGTGTACTAGGACTGACTGAGGTCTCACAAACTACAGTTCAAGGTCGAGCGTATAGCCCATCTGCAAGCACGTCAGGGCTTCCTGGCACTCCGCCTCGCTCCCTGCTCCGTACATGCCAGGAGATGGTGAGAAGTGATGCTTCTTCTGTGCATTGTTAACAAGCAAGTCCGAGGCACTCAAGTGCAGATGGGGTGCCCACTGGCCAGCCAGCCAGCCACCAAGAGTTCTTCACATCCTGGACTCCAGCAGGTCATCCTTTTCCTAGAGAAAACTTCCGTTTTTCCTCCTCTTGTATCCAGGGTGGCCAAGCTGAAGGGTATTTTCTGTGCTCTCCCTGAACAAGTGTGAATAAAAAGCAGCAGCCAGCCCCTCACCAACGTGTCCTGATTTGTAGTGTCCAAGTGAGGTATTTGCAAAAAAGGAAAATCTTAAGAAATTAACATCTGCCATCTTCTTCACTCCTGCCTATGTTGTGCCTCAGTTACAGAGCTTGCTTTCATCCCACTCTATGAGGAGAACAAGGACGTCTGCACTTGTATCTTAATGAGCTTTAGGACTCCATATACATTATAAAACTCTCAGAGACCAGTCTCAGCAAACGCTGGTGGCGCCGCTGATCAACAGCACATGGAAATGTAAACTTTAATGTATTTACAAGCTTGTTTAAAAGACTGAAGAAAAACAGTGCTTTATATTGCTGGGATTTTGAGAAGGCTTGTTTGAGAGATTTGGACCAGCTAATGAGTTCAAGCAACATCCTTCATCGTTAGATCCAGTGTTTCCCCCACCAGCAGTTTCCAGACAGAGGTGGCAAAACCGTTTTACCACACTGCATCTATCTCTTCCCCCAGCACATTCCTCAGCCATATCGAGTGGCTCTGGGCCTTTTATCCCTCCTTTCAGCTCTCACTCCTGAGGTTCCAGGACAGAGAATTCCAAGTCAGTAAAATTTGGGCTGGGAAACACTGGCTGGAACTATCAAGACTCTATGTAACTGTTGTCCATTTACAAAGTATTATCTACACTAAATACAAAATACCTTTTCCCCCACATTTTAACTGATGCTTACTTTAGATCAACTCCCTTTGTTTGGACAAGAAAGGAATCCTGTCTCCCTGTGAACGCAATCCAGAATCTATTAAAAAAAAATCAACCTTTTCTATGCAGTTTTAGTTTAATAAAAGGAAGGAAACCCCAGCAAGTACATTTCAGGTTGAAAGAGAAGCAAAAAATTTCCACTACAAGTAATTGTGTGAGTAACCTTGATTCCCAGGGAATAAAGTTTTAAATGCTGGTACATCTTTGCAAGTTGCAGCATCACTCAAGGTACCTTAAGGACTGGCAAAGCCTATTCAATAAGGAAGCATCCTGGTTCTAGCTTAGTTTAAAACAAAGTGACAGGACACCAACTGTGACTATAAAACAGATAAAAAGAATTCTTTAAAAAGGCATGGAGGGCTTCCCTGGTGGCGCAGTGGTTGAGAGTCCACCTGCCGATGCAGGGGACACGGGTTTGTGCCCCGGTCCGGGAAGATCCCACATGCCGCGGAGCGGCTGGGCCCGTGAGCCACGGCCGCTGAGCCTGCGTGTCCGGAGCCTGTGCTCCGCAACGGGAGAGGCCACAACAGTGAGAGGACTGCCTACCGCAAAAAAAAAAAAAAAAAAGGCATGAAAATATATGCCTTTTCTGACCAGTTTCAAAAATTGCCAGATTATGATCTATAAGAAATAGCTGATAAAAATCATACCGAAATCTCATCTAAAAAACTACACTGTCAGGGGGAGGAAGAGGAGGGACTTTAAAAAATGTTTATTGCCAAAGTTAACTTGCTATGAGAAAAGTTTAAAAATCATTTAGATCTAACAAACCACACAGCAGCATAAAATGGGCATTTTTGAAAACTCTGAAAAATACTGAAAGCTAATTTTTTTCAAAGAGGGGGAAACATGAGTACTTTTTACCATGGCAGTGTTATCTGTCACCATGACATGCATCACATGTGTTACACATTCACAAAAGTCAACCAAATAAGAGAACTGCCTGTCTGAATCTGCAGCCAAATATAGTGCAATTGCCTGGCAGCCTGTACTTGCACCAGCACAAGTCTGTAGAGATCAATACATAAAGTAGTAAAACTAATAAAACTCTGTAAAACTTTCAAAAATTAATGCTCGTTAAAGGCATTTACAGTGGCGAAGTCAGAAATCTCCATTAAAAAGCCTATTGACCCACACAATTAAATAGTTACACTGAACTGAAGTAGATTGGTTTTTCTCTCCCATTTATGCATATACCCCACTCGACGAATACAGAAAAAAAGGAATAAGCTTGTCTTGTAAGACTAGAGGGATGCGGTGAACACCACAGCTAGCAAAATAGTCCATAGAAACCTTTCTCATAAAGTCCTTTAGAAAGTTCAGGCTGATTAGCCTTTGCATGATGAGGTAAAAATTCAGTCCAGTGCATCAGAAAAGATAATCAATGAGTATCTATTACTTTAAAAAAATGGCTCAATTTTGTGGATGCATCAGACAGTGCTGCAAAGTATAGATTCAGGGCAACTATTCTGAGTTGCTGGTAGAGGACCACCTGAAGTCAACTTGGCTCTCTCTAGAGGCAGTAGGCGTTTGAAACATTTTGAGCCTGCATGGGGTGCCAAACTGGTTGAATTCTTTTTCTGAGACTCTCAGGCAAAATACATCGTGTGCTGGGTATCATGGTGGATCTGCACAGCTTTAGCCAAGGCCTGAGGATCTCGGCCATTGCTCTGTCCTGACACATGACTGCCTTCCGCACTGTAAAGAAAAGAAAGCAAAAAAACCAAGAGTAACAAAAGACCACTTCAAACTCCACATGTTTCAAATAGCATGAATAGTACTAGATTCAAGATCTTGGGCTCAAGGTGTGGCTCCTTAAATAATTTGTAACGTCTCTCTCAACATCAGTTTGCTCAACTGAAAATGCAATACAACTTATTTAATGGGCTGCTGCAATTAATTAGAATAATGTCTGCAAAGACCCAAATCTTCAGCAGTGCCTACACAAGGACTTCCATTTGTCTGTTATGTCTGGTTAATGCCTACTTGTCCTTTAGGCTTCAGTCAAATGTCATTTCCCCCAAAGAAATCTTCCCTGATTCTGAAGTTCAGGTCAGAGCCACCTGGAATATACTTTCACAGAATCCTCCACTTTTATTTTATTTGAAAGATTATTATTTGGATAATTATTTATTTCCCTACTGGGATGTAACCTCCAAGAAAGCAGCCACTTTGTCTGTCTTACTCACCACTAAATCCCTAGTGCCTGCCACATAGCATTGCCTCAATAACCATTCGTTGAATGGATGAATGAATGAATGAATGAATGTGCTTAGCCCAGTGCTGGAACACAACAGATACTCAGCAAATGTTACTATGCCACCAGCCTTTCTTGTCTCCCCCTCACTAGCTATATGACCCTGGACAAGTAACAACTCCTCTGAACTTGATCTTTTAGGGTAAAAGTAACAACTTCTGAACATACCTTTTAAGGGCACCATGTGATAAAAGGCTTAGTAAATGGGAAATCACCATCCCTCTTCTAACTTCTCTACTTAAATTATTATTACCCTTATCATCTAGGCTCAAAATCTTAGTCATTTTTTACTTCATCCTCTTCTCTGTCACTCACATCCAATTAACTGTTGAATAATATCTATTTTATCCCAGGATTAGCCTTTTACGTTGAACAAAGGTAATCTTGCTCTAACATATTCTTCCAGCTTCATGCCTGGTATTCCCCTTTCAAATGCTCCAACCAAAGAAAACTTGCTATTGTTCAAACATGTCACTTGTCTTCTCTTCTTTGTGTCCATTATTCCCTCTGCCTGGAAAATTCTTTTCTCTTCTTTGTAGAGCCAAATCCTACCCATCCAGCTATGAAATCTCTAACAGACTTTCCTCTGATGTCCAATTGCACTTTCACTTATACTGCTATGGGCTAATTGTCAGTTTTATGTTTGCCTGTATTGTATCCCATACTGAAGCATAAAATCCCAGGAAACATGTCTTCCTCAACTTACAGTTTTTAGTACCTAGTACAGTGTTGGGCACACAGGCAATACCTAGTAAATGTGTTGAATGAATATGTATATTACAGAATGGAAGGTACAAAGCCACAGCTGGGCATTTTCCATCATAGCGTACTTTCAACCCGTACAGAAATAGACTTGCAGTGGAATGTCTACTATTTAGCAGCTGAATTCGGACTTGGGGAAGAGCCCAGAAACTGCTACACTTCACAGATGGTCATTTGGGAAAAAAAATTTAACGCAGAAAGCTTGTTTAGTTATTTAATAGTAGCTCAATAACAGGTCAATATGTCTGATTCTCCTGAGATCCTTATTTGGGGGTGAGAATGGTCTGGTACCCGACCTGTTCCCGACACAAACCCAGGTTCCCTCTGATACATCCTCCAAGACTGTACTGAAAGTAAAGTGAACTGGTCAGGACTTCCCCCTTGCATGGAGTGGAATCCACAGGCCTGTGACTGCTCTGACTGGAGCCAGGGCACTGAGCTGGACATCTTTTGAGGCTGCTTAGGACCTGAGCAGAACTGAAATGCATTTGGCTCTATGGGAAATCCACAGGCAGTTTCAAATGAGACTGCTTTTTGGGGCAGACTTTAGACACATCATACAAGTATGAACAAGCCTGGGCAATTTCTGGACCAAAAGTCACATTATCAGCTCTTAAAGGCACATGCAATTTTATTTGCTCCTTGAAATGTAAACCCTAAAAGGAAGGTTTAACTCTTCCTAAAAGTTTTCTATAGTAGCTCATTTTTTTAATATGCTGCTAACACAGACAGAAAGATTTTATTTGCCTGAGAAACTTGCCTGTCATGATCTTTATCCACCAGATGATACCTTGCCCTGAATGCTACAAGGCGGGCATAATAGGCAGGGGCTGGAATAGAGACTGAGCGTGTGCACCGCACATAGGTATGACATAGCTGGTAAGTTAGTAACTGGAGCTCATCTGCGGTGAAGCAGTTGTCATCCCACAAGACCTGGTAATGTGAAGGACGGCTGGTTCCCTGGAGAAAGAATTTTATGATTAATGTCTCTGACGTGGGTTGACGACCTGAGAGAATTGAAAGCTACTTAAATTCAGAAATATTCCTGCCTAGCACACCTACAAGCAGATACCTAGACCAAAAGATAACAGCTCTAGGATACAAGCATTAACAAAGTTGGGTACAGTGTTTCATAACAAGTCTACTCAAGCTAGTTGCTGAATTTGCAAACACCTCCCTATCAAATCAAAGACCTGGACTAGCTTCCAAACTACCTGAATTCCTGCATGACTACAGAGGTAAAAGTCAAACTCAGATGGATGTGTGATGGTGCTATCCACGGTAGTGCCTGCTGGTACATTGCCACTTTTCCCCACCTAAAAAAAAAAAAAAGTATAATTAGTCATCAAAGTGCTAAATTGAGCTCAAGCCATTAGTAACAAGTTAGTATACTGCTCTTAAGTGAACTCTTGAAAATCAGTTTAATTCAAGATGTTGAATTTTCTGTAACTTTCCATTAGCCCAACTATTTCAACCTCAGATATTTTCTCAAATATACTCCACTGTTTCTCTAAGGGAATCCAGACAAAGAATTATTTTACCTATGGCTTTGGGCTACATTATTGTCACCTATTTTACAGATGACACTTTGGTGTGTTCACAGAGGGGGAAAAAAAGACATTTAAGATGGATAAGCTTCCTGAGGGGGGAAAAAAACTCAGTTTTATTCCTTATTTGGAGTTAAAAAAAAAACAACCTACAACTTTCAGTAAAAGTTAAGATGAAGGAATCTGTGAACTGGTTCACCAGGTTCAACAAAATTAATACTTTTACAGGATCGATAAAATAATTCACTGGCACATGTATTGTCAGGAAGAGTGCATTGAAATGAGAATTAGGAAAACCACAGCTTCTGTTCTAAGCCCAGCCTTGCAACTACATACCTTGAACAAAGCGTAATATCTTTGGGCCTCAATCTAATCATCCATAAAATTAGGTGATGATCTCTGATACTTTTAAAATTCTAAAGTTCTTCTATAGCCAAATTCTAAAATCAAACTTCTAGAAAAGCAGAGAGGAGAACTTTAAGGAAAGGAATTAAATCTTGCTATTTGGTCAGTTTTCATCCACTTCTGCTTTACACATGGGTTCCACACGAGGTAGCACATTTAGCATATTGGCACAAATTTGATGGGAATTTATTTGGCTCCATTCTAACTATTGTTAACTTCAGCTGAAGATCATGCACCAATGCATATAATGATAACATACATGAGTATAGAAAAGTCTCATTCCATGAAATTCATATGTGATCTGGGGTACCTAGCTGGACAAGAGGAAATGTAACTGAGCTACAATCATTCTAGTATTGTTTCCCAAAGTGTATGCTTTAGAAATATTAGTTCTGCAGGATGTGTTTAGGTGTTTTATGGTCAAATAAATTTGAGTGATATGGGGTTAAACCACAGTTGAAAGGCTTTTCTATTGTATGACTTCTCAGAACCTTTATCTAGTAATGTATAATCTTTAAGAGGGAGATGGAGTATACAGCATTTCCCAAACTTATTTGACCATAGAATCCCTTTTTAAAAATCTCTTGGAATCTACAGATGAGAACCTAAAGAGGTGCTGCCCTGGGGAAAAGGGGGTCCAGCCATGTTCATTTCAATAATTATTGCTTGAGCACCATGTGCAAGGCTCTGCAACAGATGTTGGGGATGAGAGACAGAGTCACAGAGAGAGCTAAAAAACCTGCCCTCCTGCTCTTCATGAAAGTCACAGGCAATGAACTGCAATGCAATGTAATAAGGGCCTTATGGAAGGCACTGGGAAAAGCTGGTGGGAGGAAATGGTTGAGCCATGCCTTATAGGATAAGTTCAGGTTGGATGGAGGGGACAAAATGAAAATGGAAACATTCCAATACCCCTTGCAGTCAGGAATGGATAAACAAACTGTGGTTCATCTACATCACAAAATACTACTCAGCAATACAAAAGGAACAAACTACTGATACACACAATAACGTGGATGAATCTCAAATGCATTATGCTAAGTAAAAGAAGCCAGACCAAAGGCTACGACTTCTTTTCATATGACATACTGGGAAAAACAAAACTATAGGGACGGAATATACATCAGTGGTTGTCAGGGGCTGTAGGTAAGGGAAAGGGTTGACTACAAAAGGGCATAGGAGAGTTTTTATGTGTGACAGAATCATTCTATATATTAAGGTGGTAGTTTTACACAACTGTATGCATTTGTCAAAACATGCAGAACAGTATGCTAAAAATAGTGAATTTTACTGTGTCTGTATTATATCTTATTATAAAAATAATGGGGAAAAAAAAGGTGGGATGGATGTGGTCATTCCAGGGATAAAAATACACAATGTATATGGGAAATGGAAATAGTCACGTTCCTAATGAAAGGTGTGTGGGGGCATGGTGAAGGATCAAACTGAATGTGTTTTGGCTACCGTGGGAAAACACTGAGCACCATAAGGAAGCATCTGGTAGGCAACAGGGGTGACATGAAGATTTCTGAGCAGTGCAGTGGCAGGATAAGATCTGTATTTTAAAAACCTAGCCCTCAGAATGGCCACCATCAAACAATCTACAAACAATAAATGCTGGAGAGGGTGTGGAGAAAAGGGAACCCTCTTGCACTGTCGCTGGGAATGTAAATTGATACAGCCACTATGGAGAACAGTATGGAGGCTCCTTAAAAAACTACAAATAGAACTGCCATACGACCCAGCAATCCCACTACTGGGCATATACCCTGAGGAAACCATAATTCAAAAAGAGTCCTGTACCAGAATGTTCATTGCAGCTCTATTTACAATAGTCAGGAGATGGAAACAACTTAAATGTCCATCATCAGATGAATGGATAAAGAAGATGTGGCACATATACACAATGGAATATTACTCAGCCATAAAAAGAAACGAAATCCCTTTTTAAAAATCTCTTGGAATCTACAGATGAGAACCTAAAGAGGTGTAATAAGGTGGATAGACCTAGAGTCTGTCATACAGAGTGAAGTAAGTCAGAAAGAGAAAGACAAATACCGTATGCTAACACATATATATGGAATTTAAGAAAAAAAAAATGTCATGAAGAACCTAGGGGTAAGACAGGAATAAAGACACAGACCTACTAGAGAATGGATTTGAGGATATGGGGAGGGGGAAGGGTAAGCTGTGACAAAGCAAGAGAGAGGCATGGACATATATACACTACCAAACGTAAAACAGATAGCTAGTGGGAAGCAGCCGCATAGCACAGGGAGATCAACTGCTTTGTGACCGCCTGGAAAGGTGGGATAGGGAGGGTGGGAGGGAGGGAGACGCAAGAGGGGAAAAAAAAAAAAAGAAAGATCTAATTTAAAACAAACAAACAAACAAAAAAACCTAGCCCTGACAGTAGGTGGAGGATGCATTTGTGAAGGAGGAATGGAGACAGGGAGACAGCTAGGAGTCTCCTGCAATACTGAAGAGTTCCGCCTAGGGCAGATGGAACACACAAGAGGAAGAATTGAGCCAAGAGATTTCAGGGCAGAGCACAGAGAATTGTTTGACCCACTGAACATGGGAAGCGGGGACAGGAATAGAGGAGAAGCATTTAAAGACAACTCTGAAGTTTCTCACTTGGCTGACTAATATATAGCGATGCTAAGCAACAGAAGAATAGTAAAATTGGGGAAGGAATAGCTTTTAGATGTGGATAAAACAATAAGGAGAAGGTTTAGATGTGCTTTGCTTGAAATGCCTGTGGTAGATTGTATCACTGGTGCCAAATATTCCCATGCCCGTCCCTGGAGGAGGATTATACATCCTTACCCAATTAACTCAGAAGTGGCCACGTAACTTCCTTTGGCTAATAAAATGTGGTGTGAAATGTCCTACTTCTGGGCAGAAGCTTTAACAGCCAGCATATGGCTTGTCATGTATCTTTTTTCCCCTCTACTACAATGACTGGTGAAGTTCCAGACAGATGCTTCTCTGTCAGCCTAGGTTCCAAAGGGAGGACAGCGAGGTCCCAGCTGTAGCAGTGCCACAATGAATGTGTAATGTGAACAAGAAATAAATCTTAGTAAGCCACTAAGACTTCGGAGTCTTTTGTTACCACAGCACAGCCCAGCCTATCTTGACTGACACAATGCCTACAGAGCATCTAAGTAAACTGGTAGACAGTTAGAAGTGCAGATCAGAAGCTGCATAGAAATACAGATTTAGGAATCTATAACCAAGTAAGTGAATCCGGAAAAGTAGGTGAGACTAAGGGAGTTGAAATTGAGAAGAGAAGAGAGAAATATGAAATGCCAGGAAGCATCAATGTTTAATGGACAGAGGAAGAAGAGGAGTCAAAGAAAGCCTAATTACAGAGGTAGGTAGTGAGCCTGGAAAATCATATTGCTAAGGCCAAAGAAGGCAAACATCCATAAGTGCTTCAAAGAGGTCAGTGTGGGAATTTGGCAAGATATCGCTGGATTCGAAATGAGCAAGTCATTGAGAGAACGACCTCAGTGGAGTCAGTAAAATAAAAGTCAGGCAACAGAGAACTGAAGTATTACGTGGGAAGATACAAAAAGAAAATCAAGTCTTTTTTTCCTATAAGTTTGGTCATGAAAGGGAGGAAAGAAAAAATGGCAGGTAGATTGAGGGAGAAGGGAAGTTTTGAGGGAGACTGAGGAAGAGTTGAGAAACTTTAAAAGGTGAGGAGAAGAAAGCAATGAAATGGGGAAAACTGAAATTTTGTTTTGTTTTGTTTTTTGTGGTACGCGGGCCTCTCACTCTTGTGGCCTCTCCTGTTGCGGAGCACAGGCTCCGGACGCGCAGGCTCAGCGGCCATGGCTCACGGGCCCAGCCGCTCTGCGGCATGTGGGATCTTTCCGGACCGGGGCACGAACCCGCGTCCCCTGCATCGGCAGGCGGACTCTCAACCACTGCGCCACCAGGGAAGCCCAGGAAAACTGAAATTTTGAAAAAAAAAAAAGGATAATTAATGAAGTGAGGCTCTAGAGAAGGCAGAAAGCATTAAAAACAAAAGCATAGGTGGAGGGAAAGAAAGCATAGGTGGAGAGATTAGCCTCTGAGATTCAAGGAAGAAAATAAGAAAACACAGATTTAGCTAAATTTGAAAGTAAAGGGGAGGAAGCCGAGAAAATTCATGCCTTTTCAATTTTGTTTTCTGGAGGAAATAGAAGGTTATTCTATTGTTGGCAATGTAAATTGTTGGCAACGAATGCTTCATGGATGGGGTTGGGGACTTGAGAAGAGTATAAAGGTTTAGAACAGATGTTATGGGAAATACGATAAATGAAAAATTGCAGCATCAAAGGCCTGGCTGAGATTTGCTGTCAAGAACTTGTATTATGGTTCATTATTAAATAAATGACTTTTTTCCTCAGCAACCTCAATCTGCCTAAGACTAGAAGCAAAAGAAATGGGCAAGTACACTAATTCAGAGTTGGAGACTGGCAAGAGGCATGTTTAGAGAATTGAAGATGCTGGTGTCAGGGGTGCAAAGTAGACCAAGGATTGGGACTGTCAATCTTCTAAGGTCAGGAGTGACACTGGATGGTCAAGAACAAGGCTATGAGATAGCTTGGGGGTTTAGGAAGATAGTCAGGGTCCTAAAGTTACATGAATAGTAAGTCAACAGCGGGATGGAGTGTGACTATGCAGTTAAGGAGGGGATGGCAGGATGTTTTGTGCCCAGAGCTCGGTCAAGAGCTCAGAGAATTTGAATGAGCAGAATTTAAGAAGTATTACCAAGTCAGAGTTTGGCAATTTGGAAGACAGTATTTTGAATCTGAGCTGATTGGTGGACCTGTGGCCCAAGGGTAAAACCTTAGCTCTCTAATGATTCAGAAAACAAGAAGAAACAGCTCAGCCTTGGATTAGAGACAGAAACTCCAATGTGGGAGCATGTGGGACTTCCCTGGTGGTGCAGTGGTTAAAAATCCGCCTGCCAATGCAGGGGACACAGGTTTGAGCCCTAGTCCAGGAAGATCCCACTTGCTGCGGAGCAACTAAGCCTGTGCGCCACAACTACTGAAGTCCGCGCACCTAGACCTCGTGTTCCGCAACAAGAGAAGCCACTGCAATGAGAAGCCCGCGCACTGCAACCAAGAGTAGCCCCCGCTCACCGCAGCTAGAGAAAACCCGCGTGTAGCAACAAAGACCCAACGCAGCCAAAAAGTAATTAATTAATTAATTAAAAAGAAAAATCTAATCCTTAAAAAAATAAAACAAACTAAGTGTGTACTAGAAAACAGTGGGAGTGACCCACAAGACAAACAAGATCAGGAAACAGAAAGAACTGGTCTCTCTGGGAGTGGATCAGGGAGGGCCTGAAAAAATTGAAGTAATGTCATAGAAAAGATCATAGAAGTAAAGTCATCCAACACTGTGTACCTAAAATTTACCTAGTTTACACATTAATATCAGACTATAAAAAGGTTACACAAAATGCCTTGTATCAAATGCTGGAAATTGTACCCAAAATTAACATTCATTTACTAAGTTAATCCTTAACAACAACCCTGTTCTTACCACACTTTACAGTTAGAACATTACGGCTTAGAGCAGTTAACCTGCCCATGGTTAGTAAATGTGACATCACAGGCATTCAAAGTGTGTACCCTAAGAATCCCTTGCACTGATGTAAAATCATTTGGAAGAGAAATTCTTCTTTATACCCTAGAACCATGCCTCAGGCGCTGGTAGCAAAAAACAGCAAACGGCAATAAAGTCCATGTAGTAAACCTTCCCTTTGGAGGTTTCCTGTATCACCATAGTGTACATAGCTTTTTTTAACTTCTCCCTCTAAAAACTCTAGAAACCAGTATTGCTGTCACATAAGAGAAATATTCAGTCTTGAAACCTGTATCATTCAAAATTGCTCATCTAAGCTCAATGGGAGTTAGTATGCTTATTAAATTATTATTAGGCACTTCTGCTTTAAAAAAAAAAAAAACTATACGTATGCCTACTCAAAAACACATTCACAGGACTTCCCTGGTGGTCCAGTCACTAATACTCTGCGCTCCCAATGCAGGGGGGCTGGGTTCAATCCCTGGACGGGGAACTAGATCCTGCATGCATGTGCAACTAAGAGTTCGCATGCTGCAATGAAGATCCTGCATGCCGCAACAAAGACCCGGCACAGCCAAAATAAATAAATAAATATTTTTTAAAAACCGAAAACATATTCACTTGCATCAGATAATAAAGCTTATCCTATGTGTTCTTACCCTCTCTGTTTTATCTGCACAGAAGAGTCGCGTGTGATGTCTTTTCTGCACCACAATATAGGTTATTCCTGGCCGGTAATCTTCTTCCAAACTAATACATGCCTTTCGAATTGCTATTAGTTCTGGCCAAGCTACCTAGGAGTTAGAAATAAAATGATGTTTAATTGAGAACTTGCCTATCTCTCAGGCATCTCTCAGATCTGATTTACTTGGAGTGGTAGATGGGAGGAAACCCAATCAGATACCTAGAAGCCCCAGAAGGCAACTATGGGATTAAGAGAGTACCTGTTTCATCTGTCCCTCGGATACCCCTCCACGGTAATAGATGATCCGAGTGGGTTTGAAGCGTGTGGATTTGTAGAACTGGATCAGCAGCTCTCGAACCATGTTAGTAAGGTCCTGGATTACCTCCTGACTATAGAGGAGCTCCTGGGAGATCTCCTGGCGGGACGTCTGCACCCGAACAGTGGCACAGTACCGGCTGGGGTGGCCGTCCATACTGCCAACGACAGCAGCAATGGAAGGCTTCTTCCCATCCCCTGCTGGGGGGTGCGTGACATCCGCTCCCAGGAAGATGACAGGCTGCTGGAACACCGAGGGCCTGCTCAGATTTAAGGAGACATTGCCACTCAGAAATATGGATGAAAATGTTTTTGTTTAGCAAGATCACCAGACATGATCACAGGCATAATCTTATAAGAATAAAGACGTGCCCATTGGGAGAGAACTCTAATGCTCACTGAGTATCTGTGCCACCCAGTACAATGAATCTGACCTGACTAAAGAAGCCAACATGGTTCTTCTGCAATAGTAGGAAGGGTAGCCAAGAAGAGGACCCAACCCAAATTTAACAAAATCTCTATGTGTAAAGGGAAAACTTTCCCAGAACAGGCTTTCTTGGGATCCTGGGATTTCTACAATGGATACTGAATTGCACAATGTACATGGAACTGGGACAAACCCCCCAATATATGAGACTTAGGGAAGAGAATAAAGTCTATCTCCTTCCCTATTTTATTTTCTCGATGTATTTATCACTTTTACCACATACTTTACTTATTTATTTTATTTATTGTACACACACACACACACACACACACACACACATACACACACAAATGTAAGCTCCATGAAGGCAGGAATTTTGTTTTGCTTTGTCTTGTTCACTGCTGTATCCCTAGTGCCTAAAACACTGCCTTGCTCACAGTTGGCACTCAACTAATATTTGCTAAAATAATGAATTCATTTATTTGGTACTAATTTATCTATGGAATTAAGGAGAAAATATCATGCATATATTACTTATCTGGTAAATTCTTTTTTTTTTTTTGCGTTACGCGGGCCTCTCACTGTTGTGGCCTCTCCCGTTGCGGAGCGCAGGCTCCAGACACACAGGCTCAGCGGCCATGGCTCCTGGGCCCAGCCGCTCCGTGGCATGTGGGATCTTCCCGGACCGGGGCACGAACCCGTGCCCCCTGCATCAGCAGGCAGACTCTCAACCACTGCGCCACCAGGGAAGCCCGATTTTTAAAGTATATCTAGGAGGCATCCCAAATCTGACAATCTCATGTAATAGGTACTAAAGATGAGGTTCCATGTGGGCAGAGCCTGGGTTGTATTTCTCTCTATATATCATCATACAACATGGGTTTGGCATAGTAGGGTATAAGAGCAAATGTATATACATAAGATACATACACAGAACATAATAACAGCTTACATATATTATGTACCAACCACTGTGCTAAGAACTTCACACGTATGAATTCATTTAGTCCTCACAACAATTCTATGAGGGTAGTACAATTATTATCACAGATTTCCAGGTTTAAAAAATGAGATATAAGAGGATAAGGAACTTGCTCAAGATTACACAGTTAGGAAGTGATAAAGCTGGAATCCGAACCCAGGAAGCCTGACAAAAAGGTCTGTACTCTATGCCACTATGCTACATTGTTTGGGGTAAAATTAAATCATGCTTTAGGTTAACTTCCCCCATGGTCTGTATACCTCATCTACCAATGTTGCAGGAAGGATTTATTTACCTAGAAGTTTCATTCAAGGACAAAAATGAGAACTGTGATACAACCGTATAAGAGTAAGGCACTCAAATTCACCTTCTTCTCAAGTATGAAAATCACTAATATCAAAGACAAAATTTAACTTCCCAAATCACTTCCACATACAGGATTTCACATAAAAACATCGTAGAGTAGACAAGTCAGATATTATCTCAACAGACAAGGAAACTACAAATTAACAAGGAGCTGCCCAATCTAAGAAATGGGCAAAGGACTGAACAGGCCCATCACAAAAGAGGATGTCCACTTAGCCAATAAACATATGAAAATGTGCTTAACATGATTAGTCATCAGAGGATTGCAAAGTAAAACCATCATGAGATACTATTACCCCCGACCAAAATGGCTAAAATTAAAAGGACTGATACCACCAAGTGTTGGCAAGAATATGAGCAACTAGAACTCTCAGTGGAAATATAAATTGGTACAACCACTTTGGAAAACTACAGTAGTCCCCCCTTATCTGCAGAGGATGTGTTCCAAGATGCCCAGTGGATGTACCAAATACTATATCTACTGGTTTTCTTTCCTGTACTAATGGATGGGTAGCATAAACAGCCTAAATACACTGGACAAAGGGATAATTCATGTCCAGGGCTGGATGGAGAGGGAGAGTTCGAGATTTCATCAGGCTACGCAGAATGGCACGCAATTTAAAACTTAAGAATTGGGACTTCCCTGGTGGTGCAGTGGTTAAGAATCCACCTGCCAATGCAGGGGACATGGGTTTGAACCCTGGTCCAGGAAGATCCCACATGCCGCGGAGCAACCAAGCCCATGTGCCACAACTACTGAGCCTGCGATCTAGAGCCCATGAGCCACAACTACGGAGCCCATGTGCCACAACTACAGAGCCCACGTGCCACAACTACTGAAGCCTGTGCACCTAGACCTCGTGTTCCACAACAAGAGAAGCCACCGCAATGAGAAGCCCGCACACCACAATGAAGAGTAGCCCCTGCTCGCTGCAACTAGAGAAAGCCCATGCTCAGCAACGAAGACCCAACTCAGCCAAAAATAAATAAATAAATAAATTAATTAATTAATTAAAACTGAAGAATTGTTTATTTATGGAATTTTTCCACTTAATATTTCCGGACAGAGGTTGACTGCAGGTAACTGAAACCAGGGAAAGTGAAACTGCAGATAAGGGGGGACTACTGTATTTGATAGTATCTATCAATGCTAAATACATATATTTTCTATAAGTCAGCAATTCCACTCTTGCAAGAGAAAGAGTACTTAATTCCACCAAAAATGTAGAAGACTTGTATAATAAATGTACAAGAATATCTAAAATTTTGTAGTGTATTCATAAAATGAAATAATACACAACAAAAAAGAAAAAACTACTTAAAATAGCAACATGAATGAATCTCATAGACATGATATTCAGCAAAAGAAGACAGACACAAAATAGTATATACTGTATGGTTCCATTTATATGAAGTTCAAAAACAGGCAAAACGAGGGAATTCCCTGGCGGGCCAGTGGTTAGGACTCTGAGCTTTCACTGCCAAGGGCACAGGTTCAATCCCTGGTCAGGGGAACTAAGATCCAACAAGCCGCAGGGTGTGGCCAGAAGAAAAACAGGCAAAACTAATCTATGATGCTGGAAGTCAGAACAGTCAGAACCTTTGGGGGTTATCTATTGGGAAGGGCCACGAGGAAGCCTGATGAGGTGCTGGATGTGTTCTATATTTAACCTGGGTGGTGGTTACATGAGTGCATACATATATAAGAAAAAGTAACCAAGATGTATATTTGAGATTTGTGTGCTTTATTGTAAATTATGTAAGTTAGAGCTTAAGAAACAAATGGAAAAAGAGTTCAGGATCTTACCTTTGATGAGGTACAAGCACGTTGTTAATTCCTCCGAGCTTTGCATTTATCTTCAGGCAAAGGTTGGAAAGGGTTTGAGGTGAGGTCTTCACTACATTTTTTACCTGGACACACTGTGTAGCCATACCCAGGAGGGTATCTCCAACACGTTTCACCTCCGCTACAAAAACAAGTTTATTAATTAATTTAAAAATGTTGATATATTCTCCTGATTACTAAAAGTAGACGGAAACACCCCACACACACACATTAACATTTACAGAGTGCCTACTATATACTGTACGTTGTGCTAGATGCTTTTCACGTGTGGTCCTTTCATCTGCTAAACCCCCAGGGCAATTTTTTTGAGTTTGGAAGGCTCTCTCCCTACCCTTTTCTTCCCTCCTGCAGGCTTTGAAGCCAGTCCACTTCCTTTATTCTACCATGCAGCCTGCCACCACTCACCACTCACTCAAGTCCCTTGAGGTTCCTTTTCCCACAGGACTGGTCTGGCAAAGAAATCAATCTCCCCAGCTCCTCCCTCTCAGTACACACAGCAGCCCTTTGAATTCTAAGGGATTTTTTTTTTCCTTCCTTCCCCTCCTCCCCCAAACACTACAGATAAAGAGAAGCTAACAAAAGAAACAAATATAGAGAGGGTTGAAGGCATTTTATAAAGTTCAAATGGTTGGTCTACATAGTTTCCAAATCCTTTACTTAGATGATAGCCAAAAGAACTTTGTATCATTCTTCTTATAAGAGATACAAACTAAGCAGCTCCTATTCTGGAAGTGGTAGGCTCCCCCCACTCTGATATTCCTAATTGCTTTTCACCAGACATTCCAGTTCTCCCCGTTTTGGGGACTATGGTAAAATGGCACTACCCTCATTACTACTGCATTTCCTGCCCACCATCCCACTTCCCCCACATAGGTTGGGTGGGCCATATAGCTGGTTGTGACCAAGAAATTGCAGAAGAACTCTCCAGGCTCTCTTTTCTCTCTGCCATGGAGCCAGCAACATTCCAAATAGTGACTGGGTTCCGGAGTGAAAATGATATGATGACATGGAGCAGAGGCTGCAGTCCACCCTCAGTGGACACATAGCAAAAGCAAAAAATAAAACTTTGTTGCTTTGAGCCACTGAGAGTTCGGGATTGTTTGTGACTGCAGCATAACCTAGTTTATCCTGACTGCTACAACTACTATTTGAAATCATCCCTCATTCAGCATTAAAGGGGTCCATACCATATACTGGCGTCTTCCCAGGCAAGATAACCACTATTAGCTGTAGGCCCACATATGTCATTTTCAGGTGTTTAAACATGGGCTCCACGCTGTCTGCACCTTGTGCATACTTGCAAAAACATGGCTGACCCTGGATGGGCATTCCTGCCTCCTTAGAGATTTTACGGAGCTGGTCAGTTAAACTCCTGTTAAAATAGAACCCGTGGCACAGTGCTTTCATTTCAGGGCACATTCTTAGTATTTATTTCCCTCTAAGATATTTCTTTCAGTTCGGTAAATTCTTAGCCAAATTTAGAAACAAATAAACAAACAAACAAAAAAACCCCATCTTTAACTGGTTGCCAAAAATAGCCTGGAAGTTGTATTTATAAGGCAGAAGACTCTGTATTATTAAACTATCAGATTATCATTTTGAATTTTTAAATAATTGTGCCTCAGCTGGGCCTCAGTGCCTAGAATAGCATTCCTGTTCAAAGATTTTTTTAAACATTCAAGTCAGTAATTCCAGACTGAAGAAAAAAGCAAGGTCAAAATTTCAGGTAACGTGTATTTTGGTAAGCCAGGTACAAGAATAGTTGGGTAAGCTTGTGTTCAACTGAGAACACAGAAACACACTGTCACAAAATCACCATATTTAGGATGACATTCAATCTTGTAATAGATTTGATTCAATAACAATGTCAAAAGAAATCATCACTTTAAGAAAAAGCAAAACTCATGGTCAAGTTTTAAATTTTGGATTTGTAGAAAGCTTTCAGAATGATTTGTTTTCTGCATTTGCCAATGTTTTGTAGGATTCCTTTCTTTCACCCCGGTTCCCTTTTCCCGTCGTGATTTTTCCACCCTTTTCACTAACTTCCTGTATATAGATAACTGCATCTGTAAGATGTGAATCAATGATCTTAGTCAGTGACCCTGCAGTAAAACAAGCTCTCTAGTACACTGTAATGATTAAAAATGAACTAGTTTTTATCTTAGCTGAAAAGATACAATTAACCCCAAAGGAAGCTTCTCTGAGAACTCAAGAATTTGCCAATCGGCACTGCTTCAGCCTTGTTAGTCACAAATTTCTGCTCTAAATGTAGAAGCTGAGTCAGATTCTTAACATAATTCCCAAGTCTGCGATTTACTATAAGAACAAGGTCTTTTTCCTATAGCCAGATGGTGTCACTATAGGAGTCTGGGATTCAGTGCCAGTGTACACAGCACATTCACATAAAGATGATATTTTCATATCTGGAAGGGATATTACTAAGCTGAAAATATGAAGATACTCACTTTAGTAAATCTTCCCTACATTGTTTCTGAGGCGCAAAACAAGCAACTGCCCAAACTTTAATTTCAATGCCAGCATAAAACTGCTTTCCTCGCATGTCCCAGACACCCTGGTTGGGTGTGGCTACCGTTTTATTCTTTAAAAAAAAAAACACACAAAAAAAGAAACAAAAGAAAAGAGAAAAGACATTACAATCTAAGGCCATTTTAAAGTTGATGAGGGGATAAACAAAACTCTATTTGATATTAGCCAAAAGACAAAAAGCAGTAATGAGCAAAGCTATGAGTAAATTCAGTGTGGTGTAGTGGAAAAACCCTGGATTCATCCCTTTTTGATTGGTTGTTGGAAGAAGCTTGCTGAATAAAATAAAAAGCTTACCCGGCCTCCGTATTGCAGCATTGGTGCTGGAAGTACCCTGCCTGTGAGCTCAGTCATTTCATTGTGGACAACAATACCAAATTCTTTAAGATATGGATCAGGTCCGCCCACCATGCTGTTACTCTTCACCTAAAGAACAGGAAAGCCTGCATATATAAAAACCAAAGAGTAACTGTGTCCCATCAGGCATTTTCTATTGTTTTTTTTTGTTTTTTGTTTTTTTCCCATCTGAAAGCTAGCTTATCTTAAAGACCATGCCTTACTGACCAGTCTACTGATTTCTTCTTGCCTGTCAGGAGCAGATCTTGCTGTGGCTTTGATCATCGTGGAAGTCTGATTGTCTGTGAGTTTCTTTATACACCGTTGTCCTGCCACTATATTACAAACCTACCAAGAGGCAAAGAGGAATTAGTTTGTGTAATGGGCTTCTACATCTTAAGCCTTTGCTGAACTGTACCTTACATCTTCCATTTCCAAAAAAATGAAAATTCTGTTATATGGTGAAGTTATCTGTCCAAAGTATTTTAGAGATTAATATTAAATTCTATCACTAGTTTAGAACATTTCTTTTTTAAAAAACACATTCAAGAGATTGGCAGATTGGCAAAAGAAAATTTAGTTTAGCTTACCTCAAGTGGCAAGTAGGTATGCTTTTGTTCTTGTCCCACCTGGAGACAGGGAAGATGGGGGTATTTCAGTTGCAGACTATACTTTTGCTTAAAATATTGAGCTACTGTACATTCCATTGCTTGCCCATTTTCTAGCTGTAAGGGAAAACTATAAAAGAGAATGTCTTTTTAGAAATTTCTTCAAGTTGTTTGTTTTTTTTTTCAAATAAGCAAACAAACAAAAGCCTACTAACATTTTCTACCTTGACCAGTCACTTAAAAAAAAAGGTCAATCTTTATTTGGCCATTTTCACTTAAGCCATTTTAGGGTTTAATCAGGATAGCGATTTTGTTGGAATTTTACATGTTTGTTTGTTGAAGCTAAGATGAGAAAATTTTTAATTAAAATGGAAAAAGAATTTAAATCAAGAAGAAGCCGCAGAACCAGAAAATACACAGACTTACTAGAGAGGTCAGTTAACACCTACAGATACAAATACAATCGCTTGCTGGCTTCTTAGAGATGAGTAAATTCAAATAAGGTCCTGGGTCATCCACAGATGATAACTTAAGATAACTTTTGAGAAAATGAATGTAGCAGAGTTACTGGGGCCACATCTTCAGATCCCCAAACCAGGACAAACATATGTGGATTTGGAGGCCACAAGACCAGATACATGAACTTGAGACTGTGTCAAGATATTTGGTATAAACTGGGGAGCATGATTTAAGAGACTCTCCTGATTTTGCTCTTCCAGTGGACAAATTATCTCAAACACTTGGCATAATAATTACTTTAATCTTGCTTTCTTAGCTGTTAATGGCCCACAAAGTAATAATGCAGTGAGGATCACGTATGTGATATTTAAATCTATGTGCTTTTAATTTTCATGCAAAGATTATATAGTTCTATAAGTATAGTTATTCTTACAGGGTACTGTGAAGTAATTAAATAATGAGAAAGATAGTTCTTTTTGAAACAAATGCTATAATTCTCAACAGTGACTTCTTTTCCTTAGAGAATGAAGTCAATGGTATAACATGAAGAATATACGGAACATCACTTTACAAGTCAAGAAATTCATGTGATGTGTACATGAGTTCATACTGAAGAATTTATTCAAATCAGACTGAATTTTTATACTACATTTATCCAGAGGCCACCCCAAAATTTCAGTTATCTAGAACAAAGCACTCCAAGTGATTTTGATGTACACTTGTTGGAAAAAGTCTTCTGAGTGAGGAAAATAATGTAAAGTTAACATAGTTAAGTTTATGCTCTTTACTTAGAAAAGCCAATATTCATATTTATGTCACACATGAGTTTAATGATCTTGATTACAAGAATAAAACTTACATATATGGTAACTTAAAAAGCACTTTAATATATATTTTCTCATTAGGTATAGCTCACAGTGGACTAGAAGCTGGGTGATTAGAAAACTGAAATTGAGTAAGCATAAATAAATGTGCTGCTGGAGGCATACCATACACACGGACAGCTGGAAGAATTGACAGCTAGCTACAAAAAGGGGGGAGAAAAATCCACATAAAGCACAAAGCAATATGTATCTTCCCATGACAGCTTTTATGACTTACAGGCCTTAATAGATCCTTCAGGCCATGCATTGAGAATTACAACACTATAATAAATGATGTTCATAAAGATGACTCTGCATCATTATATAAAAGTTGATCTATGTTTAGCATACTCTGTTTAATAGGTGAAATGACTTCCCTGGTGGCACAGTGGATAAGACTCTGTGCTCCCAATGCAGGGGGCCCAGGTTCGATCCTTGGTTAGGGAACTAGGTCCCACATGCATGCCACAACTAAGAGTTCACAGGCCACAACTAAGGAGCCCGTGTGCCGCAACTAAAGAAGCTGGTGAGCCGCAACTAAGACCTGGTGCAACCAAATAGAGAAATAAATATTTTTAAAAAAAGAGAAAGAAAAACTGGCTGGATCATAATTACATTTACAAAAAAAAAAAAAAGAGGTGAAATGAATTAAAGGCATGAAATATGTTTTATAAATATTTCTATCAAAAATATTTAAAATTTTTTCTATTTTATTTATTTTTATTTTTATTTTTTATTTTTTTGACCGCTATGTGTGTGGCATGTGGCATGCAGAATCTTAGTTCCTTGACCAGAGATCGAACCTGAGCTCCCTGCAGTGGAAGCGTGGAGTCTTAACCAATGGACCACCAGGGAAGTCCCTTAAAACATTTTTAAAGCTTCAGTGCTTTAAAGTGAAGATCTAGGTGATTTTTTAAATTAAAATATGGGATACCAATTTCTCAAATTATTATAGTAGCTTCCTTTGTTACAAAAAATATAATGGTACAATTTTAGATGTGGTTAACATACGTCTGATGACTGGCTGGCCGTCTAGTCACATTACACACTCGATATTTTCGTTTCATCTGTCCACAGTGGGTCACCTCAACTTTAAGACCTGAAGTCAAAACAGTCAAAAGAGCAGTATTAATTAAAATCACAGTGACAAGAAAATACTCGAAGGTTGTCTTCAGAAAGGCATAGCACTGTACAGGACAAAAGTTGCAAGGATATGGGAACAATTTCATCATGCATAGGCAAAAAAGCCTCAGCCAAGCAGAAAAAATTAGAACCCAGATGACTTAAGACTTTCAACCTACTTTGATGTATTACTTCATCCAATAAGTATCTATCAAGCGTCAACTATGTTTTGGTGCTTATTCTTGGGTCTGGAGATAGCCCTAATGAAGCTTATGGTATAATGAGAGAAGATAGCTAACAACAGGTAAAGAAGCAAAGAAATTCTGAGAATAAATGAACTTGTGTTATTTTATTAAAATGGAAGTTTCTAAGTAAGTAAAAGTAACAGTTACTAAGTTCCTGACATGTGCCAGGTACTGTGCTACTGTATAAAGAAGCTTTATACACTTAGTTGCATTTAATTCTCACAACAATCTTACAAGATACACGTTATCTTTATCTTAGAGATGAATAAACTAAGGCTCACAGTGGTTAAATAACTTGCCCAAAGTCCCAATGATAAAACTGGCAGGAATGGGATGGAAGCCCAGGTGTGTCTGACTGCAAGACCATGCTCCTTGCACCATGCTAAGCTGCCTCTCCAAGTCCACAGTAATGCAAATACCTACCTCTGATTTCTTTGGTAAACTTGACACGCTGGGAGTCTGTTAGGGGTTTGGTCTGTTCATTGATGTTCTGAATGTCTAAAACCTCACACATGAACTCAATGATAGGCTGAGCCCGGTAGAAAGCAGTTGCAGATACTAACAAACAGAGAAGGATACTTAGCTTCAGGGAAAGAAAGAGTAAAGGGTAAAGAGAGTTCCATCTTACCATCAATATTCAGCATCATATTCCACATGGCAGGTCTCACAGACTGATGAAAGCCAAACCAAACCTCCCTGCCCCCTCCCAGAGGGTGGTAGTAACCTTCAGGAGGTGAGAAAAAGGAGCGACCCACTGGAGTGTACCTGGAGAAACAAGAGTTTGCATGTTTCACAGTAAAAACTTGAGTTTTTCATTTCACTCTCAATTTTGTAAACTGAAACCAAGTTTGAACTATGGCTTGTGCAGAAACCTTTCAATGTCTCCAATGCAACCTAGCAAAAAAAGTCTGACATTTGTGGCAAAGAATTCAAACTAACCTCATGGAGGGAAGGTGTCTTGTGATAACATCAAGTGCTTGAACTGAGTCATCTGGGACTTCATTCAAGTGCCCGGCCAAAGCTTCTAAAAGCAACTGAAGGCTCACAACTGATACCCACTGAACAGACACTTTAAAAGTCTGGTCTTTACCCTCACCTGGAAGGGTCACTTCCATATCAACCTAAGGAAAAATACATAAAATACATACACATACATGTTTACAAAGGCTGAGACATCCCAGGAATATTCATATAGTATATGCATAAGGATGTTTAACACTTTCTATAACTGCAAAACACTGGAAACAACCTATGTTCCATCAGTAGGGGAATAATTTAATATTGAATATTATGTAATAGTTAAAAATAAGGTAGATGCTACAACATGGATGAACCTTGAAAACATTATGCTAAGTGAAATAAATAGCCAGACATAAAATGACAAATACTATATGATTCCACTTATATGAGGTACCTAGAATAGTTAAATTCATAAATACAGAAAGTAGAATAGTGGTTACCAGGGATGGGGGGGAGAAAATGGGGAGTTATTGTTTAATGGGCACAGAGTTTGAGTTTGGGATGATGAAAAGTTCTAGAGATGGCTAGTGGTCACAGTTGCGTAACAATGTGAATATATTTAATGCCACTGAATTGTACACTTAAAAATGGTTAAAATAGTAAATTTTATGTTATATATATTTTACCACGATAAAAAAATTGAATTAAAAAAATAAGGTAGGGCTTCCCTGGTGGTGCAGTGGTTGAGAGTCCGCCTGCTGATGCAGGGGACACGGG